CGCTTGTATGATATTCTGCCTCCATACTTTCCAGACAATTTTAATCTTCAGAAATGTAAATGCAATATCAATCGCTATCTATTGTCCTCCTGATTATTTTTCTTCTGTTCCCGCTCCTTAGCAATATTTCTGTTTTCTAATTATTTCACATCAAGTAACTCCTTGTCTTATATATATATATATATATATATATATATATATATATATATATATATATATATGTGTGTGTGTGTGTGAAAAGTGTATATAAATATAAATAAAATAAATAAATATATATATATATATAATTATTTATATATTATATATATGGTACTTATTAGAAAGCGCTCAATATCAGGGATAGAGCTAACATATTTGGTTGGATAGATGTGAGTTTTGACCCAAACTCACAAACTCATCTATCCAATATATATATATATATATATATATATATATATATATATATTAATAATATTAGTTGCCATTATATATATATATATAGAGAGAGGGAGGAGATAGATAGATAGATAGATAGATAGATAGAATAGATAAACACATAAATTCCCAAGAGGATAGAATCCAGGTAGAACTCAATGCCCAGAACAGTGTAAGAATATAATATAAAAGGCTCAAACGCTAATATTCCATGGTTATAGTTTATTACATTGGAATCGTAATCACGATCCAATTCGTCAAACCTACAAATTCAAAATCGTATACTTTTTTGAATTTGTTGATCTGATGAATTGGATCGTAATTACGATAATAAAATATATTAAAAATTATAACCATCCATGGAATATTCGTGTTTGTGCCTTTTGTATATATATATATATATATATATATATATATATATATATATATATATATATATATATATATATGAGATACAGTTATATATTTTCAACTTTTTCTTGTTCGTGCCCTGACAAAAACCTACCTGTTTTTAACTCTTCAACACCCACTAACCCCTTGTGTCTTAGCGACTTTACTGACCTACAAAGGCCGAACACGATTAAAATAAATTCATTCTCAATTTAGGGTTCATCAACATTTGTTTTGTTCAGTTTTTGTTCGGAATATTATGTTATTTCTTTCCCTGTCCGTAATGAAGTCGATTAAATTATAACAAGACTTTAATCTTTATTGACTAGCGTTTTCCTCACTCAGATATTCCGTCCGTTACCCTCGACCAGTCTGTTGTATGCGGCCCCTGCAGAGCCCTAAAACGAACGTCTTCCTTACATTCCCCGCTTGTGTGTGTGAGAGACTGCCAGTGACTGGCTGGGGTGGTTGTTTATACAATCGTGTGTACTACAAAATCTTTCGCACACTTGCAGACCTGTTGTGAAGTCAAGTGTTTCCTTATTTGTCGAGCAGAATTGACCCCAAGTCCACCATCTTTTTTGATGTCTGCTGTGAATTGAGTGCAATGTCTATTCTGTGATCAAACTCGATAAGAAATGATAAATTGTAATATTATGAAAAGAATACGAAGAATCCAATGAAATATACAGTATAATCATTCGCATTTTTTTACTTTTTTTTTTAAATCAAGAATTAATTCTTAAATGACAATTACACCGAATTACTTCCAGTAACATTGATTTAAAATTGTCTGATTGGTAACAATATACATTATTCACTTCTATCCGTTGCTCAAGTATGCTTCTTCCGGCAACCAGTCTAATTCTATATTTAAGTAATGTCGAAACCAATAGAACGATCTTGGATCTGAAGCAAGCTGATCTTTTGGGCGGGTGAGTATAGGCTAACGGAAAGAACCTTTCATATTCCTGCTGGTGCTGCCGAGGGGGGAATTTTCAGACAAGCAGGCGTGGAAGAGGAACGAAGTGTTCTCGGTGAAGAAGGCTTTCATCCACTTCGCTTTCGCTGTTTATTGCATCAGAAAGACGGCGCTTCCTGCCACTCGACAGCGAGAGTGATTATCCTTGGGTTAGACTGACTTTACAAGCTGTCAACCCAGTATCACGTAATAATTCTAATTAAATGATCGCCAGCCTATTGAAGGGAACAGCCAAGAGTAATTCTAAAGATTTCCCGCGGGGAACGAAAAAGATGATTAGTGTCTACTCAGCATTACAAAAGAGGCACACTTGAAGAGATCCTACTTTAATAATAAAAAAAAAAAAAATATGGAAATCTCATTAGTCTGAGAAAAAATCCTAGAAGCGTGTTGTTTTAATTTCTCTTTCTTCTAACATGGTCATCTCCCTTCAGGACGTTGGTGATCATGGGTCTCCACTATTTCCCATCCTTATCTTTTAATAAATAATCTTTTTGTTATCTCTCCTAAACCCTGTTACCCATCCATTCACACAAGCTTTCTAAGTAAGTTAGGCCTTTTTTCTTCTATGCCTCTTGCATTCAATCAATCGTGTGAGTATCAAAATTTCCAATCCCTCTTTCCTCATTATGGGACCTAGAAATTTCAACTGTCCCTCCCTGATATTAATTTTTATTTCTTTCCCTAAAACTTAATAGTTGCTCACACGTTCGTTCCATAGTATTCCCAGCATCCTACTGTAGAATCAAATTTCTTCTGCTTCAAGTATCTTATTCATATGCGAGGATATTGTCCAGGATTCATTGTGATAAAGGAGAACTGATATTACGTATCACAAAACACTTTAGATCACAAGTAACTATAGTATATGCTTCACTTCAGATGATTCTAAAATAGAAGTTGCACTCAGGGAAGCCAGGTGCATCAGTTAGTTGACCTGTGAGTTTTTTTTTTTCTAGCCGCCCGGTGCAGATCCGGGCATACACTAGCTATCAGTGACTGACCGACATATCTAGAATGTGCACACATCGGAGTCACCACGCGTGAGGTAAGAGAGGCATGGCTTTGACATCTTCACAAGAATATAGATTCCACCATTGGAGAAAACCCAAAGCCATACATCGACTTACAGTTAATAATTGAAGAAGCCCGGTGTGAATTGGTTGATTGGTTGATTTTGCTTAGCGCCATAACAAGCTTTATGGCTTATTTAATGCCGAAATCTAAATATTTTGTACATAATTTTATACTTTCACGGTAAAAGGTAGTTTTTTTTAAAGATATCTAGTTTGTAGATCATAAAAAGATATTGCTGGTTATTTCACTACAAAAATGTATTGTTGGTCATGTCTTCATAAAAAAATGTATTGCTTGTAATTTTATACATTTTTAGTGTTGTATTGTCATTTGATACTAAAATGACAATCAATACAACACTAGAAATGTTTTGATTTTTTTTTTTTGGTAGGGGAGATCATTATTTGCCCATAGCTGGAACCCTAACAGGTGCTACCACCCTGAGTCAGAATGGACCTGGGAACAACAACAATTAAGAGGTGATCTTCTAGCCCGTCAAAACCTCCAATCTCCCGATCAGAAGCCTTGCTGCCAGATGTAGTTTATCGTCATACCATGGACCCAGTGTCGCATAAAGAATAATGTTACATATTAGTGCTTAGTCTTGTGTTCTTATTGGACTACGCACGGTGATATTATTAATCAATATTTACCTGAAAGCAAAAAATAACAACACATTAAATACATACCCTATATAGTTGCGTAACAGGCGAAGTTTGAAAACCTAATTTTGAAGCTAATTTGACTAGAGTAAATGGATATATAGTTTGATCAACGGCGTAGCCAGGGCAAGGAGTGCATACACAATTTTATATCTCGTGTATGATGCGACCCTCTTAAAATTAGCTTCAAAATTGGGTCTTCAAAAGTTGCATGATACGCGTGTATATATGGTATATACTGACCAATTAAGCCGCAAGCGATAATTCAAGAACACCCACCAAGAATTTGTAACAGTTATTTTCATAATTTTGGCAGCTTTATTTTTCTTGTGATAAGCGCAGTGGATCGTATGTCTCGCTTAACAATCACACAACTCTCATCGGATTTTGACAAAAAGTATTTTAAGAATGTATATTAAATATTTTAAGAATGTTCGAATTGAAGTGTTTGAAAATCTCGTTTTTTTTAACAACCGACGCTTATCGCATAAACAGCGACATTACCTCTGCATTTTAAAAGAATAAAACTCTAAGAAAAGCGATAACGTAAAATGCAAAAAAAAAAGTTATTACACATTTCAGTCTTCATACATATACACGCGCATGCGCACAAGCACACTCACATTCATGGAGGAGTTCAGTCCGGAAAATACTCAGCATTTACCAATATCTCGAGAAACATCTGGAAAAAAACAACAGAGGACATTATAGTGCAGGGAATGAAATGATGCTCTCACCTGGAGTTATTCTGTCGGCAGAGAGAGTCCAATGTGCGAGCTTGTATACTCTGTGAACGACGCATTTCACAACGACTGAAGTAGATCTGGAAATCTCACGGAGGGCTTTTTGCGAAAATGTGGTAAGAGCCATATCTGTCAGCACCCGACACACGGTTCAGAATTGTTGACTACGACTTCTGACTGTTGCCATCGAAAGAGAGGTGGTCTAAAATCGTGTTCAGCGAAAGAGCTGATGTCGATCCCGAAGGAAACCGACAAGACCTATTAGAAAAGTAAAAAAAAAAAATGGTATAACTGATTGAGTCCACAAAATAAATATTTTAAAGGCGTCATATTTCTGGGTAGGCTACTTTTTTCATAATATTAAAGAGCTTCATACTTTTTCGAACCGAACCGGCATACAGAATCTGATAGCCATGATGATTGTACAGTTAAAAAGTGCTGTCTAATAAAAATGAGAGTTTATAGAATGTGACTGGACTGTTGCGGGCAAAATGGAAAAGACATCGAACTTGCTGAAGATTAATTGTTTTTGCCTGACTTCAGATGTCTGCAAAGTCAGTTTCAACATAATTAGGCAGCGTTTGTCCACACACAGAGAGAATCAGTCAATAAGTATTTCCCTCTTGACCAGTCGATGTAATTTTCAAAGTATTAGTCATTAAGTCAATTGTTAATACGACGGTCTCTGAAATCAGTTAAGAATCCCCATTCTCTAACAGAAATCTATTTAAGGCTGTCTCAATCAATATCTATCTATATATCTATCTATTTATTTATCTATCTATCCCACTCGATTTAATTTTTATCTATCATACTCGATTTAATTTCTATCTATCTATCTATCTATCTATCTATCTATCTATCTATCTATCTATCTATCTATCTATCTATCTATCTATCATTCTAATTTTGTTCTTATCTAATTCTCTTCATATCTATATATATATATATCAATCTGCTTCTATTTATCTTGATTTAACTTTAATCTATCTACCTTGATGTACTTTAAGTCTATCTATCGATCTATCTATCTATCTATCTATCTATCTATCTATCTATCTATCTATCTATTATTCTAATTTTGTTCTTATCTAATTCTGTTCTTATCTATCTATATCAGTCTGTTCTTATTTGTCTTGATTTACCTTTTGTCTATCTAATTACCTTGATGTAATTTAAGTCTATCTATCTATCTATCTATCTATCTATCTATCTATCTATCTATCTATCTATTTTTGTTCTTATCTAATTCTCTTCTTATCTATATATATCAATCTGTTTTTATTTATCTTGATTTAACTTTAGTATATCTACCTTGATGTAATTTAAGTCTGTCTATCTATCTATCTGTCTATCTATCTATCTATCTATCTGCAGCAAATAAGATCGTCTGCTTTTCCTAAATATCAGCCAGTAAATTTGTGCAAAAAACATTTAGTATGTTGTCTATCTCAATCTTTCTGTCTCTCTCTTTTACATATGCGCACGATATTTCACTATCGGTGTTTAGTGACAATTATCGTCTGGAATATTCATGATTCTGGAGATGCTTCTAAAATCTGGCCTCGTACCAAATTTGGGTGAGAAAACATGAAAATTTCTTTTTTCGTTTCGACCGTATAAATTCAGTTTCTTTTGCATGACTCCTTTTCGCAGACGCTCCGTGCACACAGTCACACGGTGCGTATAAATCGATACTTTTTCAATAGCTTCGATTTCTTTATCGTCTTATTACTTGGCAAATTATCCTAAACACAAACGACCGTTCACCCATTCGCATACAATTATACACGTACATCTCAAAAGGATATACAGAAATGTCCGTGATCTCTCTCTTTCTCTCTCTATCTCTCATGCACACATACACAGACGTAATCATAAATGTACACACAAAACACGCAAACACACATACAAACACAAATTTGGTCCCTGATGATTGAATTATTGCGACACTGACAGTTTTGATTGGAATCTAGTTAAGGCCAGAATTTTAAACGTTTTTACAAGCTTTTAAAGTTTTGATCCACATGTAACACACAGGCATCAACACACAGAGATAAACACACACACACAAACAATTTTAAAAAAATTATTTCATCCCGAGCAATGCCTCGAGGAAGCAGCCGATTACAGTAAATAGAGTGAAAGAGAATGAGAAGACCTTAGTGAGGATAAGTGAGGAAAACGACAATATAGGAACAGGGTTCAGGAAGACAGATGATGGCGATTGACGTGGCAGGGAAGGAAGAATCCGAGAGTGTGTTCTACATGTGAGAAGTGCGAAAAAAGAAACGGTTAGAATAAAAATTACGGCAGCATCTAGCTAGTTCAACAGTAAAACGATGAGACCTAACTGCCAATATAGTAGCAGGCATAAATTCATACCGTCGAGGTGCCAGGGGTAAAAAAAAAATCTCATCAGACCAGCTGCTATTTCTTAGAAAAGACAAAATGAAGTTACGTTGGAGATTCTGTGAGTATCTCTATGTCTATGTATGTATGTATGTATCTATCTATCTATCTATCTATCTATCTATCTATCTATATATATATATATATATATATTATATATATATATATATATATATATATATATATATATATATATTTATTACAATGAATCATTCATACAAAAAGTAGATTAGTAAAGTTAATGATATAAAATGGCGAAATCACTTCGCGAACAAAATTTTAAATTTTCATTAACCTTTAAATCACTCGATGAATGTTATGTTCCTTTTTTTTTTTTAATAATTATGAGCTGTAAAAGGTCTTTTTTAATATGCAAGTGCTTTCAACTGTATTTATATTACTAAAAACGCACTCTCCTAAATTTTCAAAAAAATTCAACCTTAGCGTTGCGACTGCACGCTCCAAAATTTGTATCCGTTAACACATTTTAAAAGAAATATTTCGATTTGCATTTAATTTTTTCGTCTCTGATGCTACCTGGATTTTACTGAAAAAAAAAAAAAATCCACGCCCGAGGATGACTGAATGTAAAGTCGAAAGTACTTGAATATTAAAAAAAAAAGACCTTATACAGCACATAATTATTAAAAACATGGATCATAACACTGATCGAGTAATTTATAGGTTAATGAAACTTTAAAATTTTGTTCGCGACGAGATTTCGCCATTTTATATTATTAACTTTACTAATCTACTTTTTGTATGAATGATTCATTGTAATATAAATTTAACTGCACCACATAATTGATATATATATATATATATATATATATATATATATGGGGAAATAGCAGGACAGACTGGCATCTATAGCCTACTTGTTCTTTATTTAATTTTTATTTATATAAAAGTTACAAATGCATTATTTTCAAACCCACAAACTAGGTCCTATAGCCAGTTATATATATATATATATATATATATATATGCATAGTCTAGGAGAAAGACAATTCTGAATTCAAAACCTGAGGAGGTTTGTTGCACGGCTCTTCAAAAAAGTGTGTTTCATTATGCACAAAGCCTTCATCGCTATAATCAAACCATATGTGTAGGTGTCTGGCGAGGAACTGTATTGCTTAACCGTCATACGTATACCGATGGGAGAGTTCAGTATATATATTGTTGTAAGCACTATATCTATGCCATTATGTTGATGACGAACTGTCAACTTAATAAAGCCATTTTTTAATTAATTTCTGTCCTTTCAAGCAATGATAGATTTAGACAAATTTATTTATCTATTGTCCTGCATTCTTAGTAAATATGGTCAGGTGGGCTTCCACTGCCTTCCTCACGGTTTTGGAATTCAGAGTTTTCCTTTTCTTACAACAGTTGCCACCGAAGGCTTAAGAGTCCCGTTTACTCAGTTATCTTACCAATAGATGAGAGAAGAGAGAGTACAGCGAGAGAGAGAGAGAGAGAGAGAGAGAGAGAGAGAGAGAGAGGGGGGGGAGAATGATTCAGGGTTTTCTCAAGGACATCTCTGTGAAGGTCAACGCAACAGATTAAGTCAGAAATTGAACTCGCATCACCAGTTCCACTGTCGCAGAGCATAATTAAATTCACTCCTCATAAGTTATAACAAATTGAAACAAATGAAATATATTACTAAGAAATGTCTATTTTACTATCTTTGTTGCTAAACTAAAATATGTTATTGGGATTATTCAGCTTCGTCAACTTTTATTGTGAGTGACACCGGTCATAAGCAATTAGTAATATAAAAGAAAAAATGAAATAGAATTCATTTGTTGCTGGCAAATTTCCATTGACGACAAAAAAGTTCATGAAAAGTAGAAGAGACATTTAGTGAAAAAAAAAAGTTGCTTTTGCAAATCACACCAATATTTTTCAGTATATTAATAAAAGAAAAGTTTTAGTCTTACATAGAACGGTTGCAAATGGTAATTCTTACTACTACCACTTTCTTCATAAAAATATTGTCTTTAAAATCATTCTCTGGGTTTGAAAATAATGCATTTCTGACTTATATATATATATATATATATATATATATATATATATAAATAAAAATAATAAAGAACAAGTAGGAAATGTATCTCAATCTAATATGTTTCATTTTCATTAAAAGCTTCGTCAGATACGTGTCTAATATATATATATATATATATATATATATATATATATATATATATATATATATATATTCGGCCACGAAAAACTTTCCAGCAAGCAAGGTTCTATTTTCCATTTTATAAGAACTTGCCTTGTTCACTCAGATAATTTTCTTAGTTTTTGTCACTTTATTGTTTTCACTTCTTAATAGTGTTTTCGTATTTTCTCTAAGAATCAGTAGCCCATTGCGTCTTAGTGGCTTACTGCCTTGTTTGGGGTGAAATTAATTTTACAAAAGTACAGATCTACGCAGATTTGTATCTGAAATGCAAACAAAACAATTTCTAAAGAATTAATCGATTTATTTTTAATCAGACATATGCTTTATTTGAAACGTTAAGGCAGTATCTATTTGAATATAATTCGAAGGAGGCATTTCTTTATTAAGATTTCTCGTATAGGCAGGTCGATAGACGTAATACACAATGATTAATAAGTAAAATAGAGCGTCTAATTCAACTATGAAATAATAACATTTGAAGATATATATATATATATATATATATATATATATATATATATATATATATATATATATATATAGTTTTAAGGTGTGCAATATTTATGGGATACAGTGCTCAAAAATCACAGATAGAGCGTATGTAAATATAAATATAAAGCAAACATTGACGTCGACAATCAGAGACACTGAGTGTTGACTTCAATGTACACATTTATATATATATATATATATGTATATATATATATATATATATTTGGATATATGTATATATAAATTATATATATATATATATATGTATATGTATATATATGTATATATATATATATATATATATATATATATATATATATATATATGTATATATATATATATATTACTGAATATATATAATATAGATCCTTGTTAGCACAACTCGGAGTTTCATGCTATATTTACATAATATTGAGCACTGTATTTATAGCACCTGAGAAAGAAATACATTTATACGTACGTGACAGTATATATGTATATTTTTTATCATACTCATATCTATCTATCTATCTATCTATCTATCTATCTATCTCTCTCTCTCTATATATATATATATATATATATATATATATATATATATATATATATATATATATATATATATATATATATATATATATATATATATATATATATATCAAAGTATATAATTGGTATACACGGAATGAATTCCAATAACCAACAATTACTATTCTTAAAAGAGTGCTCAATACAAAGTAGAGCAGAGATTTTCTTTTTCTTCTTCTGCTCCTCCTCCTCCTCCTTCTTCTTCTTCTTCTTCTTCTTCTTCTTCTTCTTGTATGTGTCATGTCTTCTAAGAACGTGGAAGATATGACTTAAAACAATTTCCTATTTTTTAGCGGTTAGTAAGGCTTGTCTTTTGATCATCCCTCCACTCCAACTTCTGCCCGTGGCCAGATATTTGGCCGAAGGTCATTTGCTCGACAGAAATTTCATCGAAAAAGTACAAGAAAAAAATAGTAACAAGCAATACTTGAGGTATTTTAATTAGCAGTATTATAAGGTAGAATAGGACTAATAATTACCACTGAATTACAAATAATTAAAGTACTAAATCTAAACTTAAAGTTAAAAGTTTTCTTCTTTCAATATTTATTTATTGAAATTAGTATTTTAAAAATATTTGAGTGAATTTAGTTAAAAGTAGCACATATTTTTTAAATTCGTATTTAACAGTAACATAAAAGCTACTTCATCACTTTAAGATAATAATCATTTAAAACAAAATTGAAAGATCTTTCATATCGTAAAAACTTTTTCTC